GGGTGAAGGGGAATGTGGAGATGGCGGGGGACCGGCAGCCAGGCAGGCAGACCTGTAGCAGGGACAGAGCTGGCCCCCCTCCCAGCTTGGCCGTGTCATGAAGATGGGAGTGGGAGTGTGTAGTGGGGGAACCACCCATAAGGGACCCCCACCTGCCAACTGGCTGGGCACCCCAAGGCTGTGTGTTGCCTACCTGGTATTCCCCAACACCCCTGTTCTTCCCAGTGCACCTCTCCGGTGCCTGCTTCTTCTGATGCCTGCGATTTAGATCAGCCTTGCTGTATCCACGGCAACAGAAGCAGGAATGTTACTGACCCTCAGAACACTGAGGGTCCCAAGATGTGGCCTGGGCTGTGATTTACCCTGAGTGAAACAGCTTGAGCCCCCTTTCTGGATACCAAGACAACCCTGCTGAGAGAGCCCAGGTAAGCAGGCAGCAACCCTCCACCAAGGATGGGGGCTGGGACTTATCTTCTGTCTCCCTACACATATATCAGAGTCTCTATCACTGCCATGCTCTCTGTCTCTGACTGCCTGTCAGTCTCTTTCTGTCTTTCTGCTCCATCAGAGGAGCTATTTTGGCACCCAAGCCTGGACACTCTTCTAGTCATCCCCATCTTTCTCAATCCCAAATGTCCCACGAGAAAGGGAGCCACCACCTGTTTTCCCACACAGAATCTCTTTTTATCATTGTGATCGTGCTTGAGCATGAGGCTGTGTTAATATTTCCTTGTGTGGTGGTGGAAGGGATGCCTGGGAGCTTCTCTCACAATGTGTGCACCCTGGGCAGGCTTAGCCTCTTACAGCTGCCTTCTCTCCCTTCTCCCTCACTCTTCTCCAGGTTCCTTGGCCTGGTTGGTGAGTGTGTGTGTGTGTGTGTGTGCGCGCGCGCGCGTGTGCACGCGCACCGAGGTAACAAGCAGGTGGGCAGACATGACAGAGAAGCTGCTCCCAGCCCAAACCAAACACCACACACTCTTCCCTTAAGTCTGTCATTCTTCCCTTTTTCCTTCCTTCTTTCCTTCCTTCCTTTCCTTCCCTCCCTCTGTCTCTCCCTCCCTTCCTTCTTTCTTCCCTTCACCTGTCTTTCCCCACAGGTAACACAGACTTGTGCCAGCTCACCACTGAAGATATTGCTGTGATTACAAGCTAGGGGAAGAAACCTGCTGTAGGGCTAAAGGAAGGTGAGGTGAAGGTGGGGAGCACTTCCAGGCTCTAGGTTACCTGATGGCTTTATAATGGCTCTGTGGGGTCAAAGACCAACAATATGGTCATCCCCACAGTTTGAGCCTCAGCCTCCATCACGAGGCTCTCTATCTCTCTTTTTGATGCCCATGGTGTGTCTGGGACCCCCAGAGTTTATGGCCTTGTGCACAGTAGCCAGAGATACCTATGCCCACCTCCCTAGTCCTGGTCTGGAGATGCAGTAAACTTAATACATGGAGAAGGTAGAATCTACCAGGGACACTTCCCCCAACTATTAGATCTATAGCATTAGTGTCAGTTTTCCCATTTGTCAAAGGGGCTGGTAAACATTCCTTTGTTGGTGTGTATAGGGATTAAATGAATTGATGCATGTAAATAAAGAATGTGGCACAGAGGTGGCACTGAACCAATGTCAGCAAAGCTCATGGTCACTATTGTTACTGATTATTTATGATTAATATTGTTATTGATTATTTGGGGGAGTGACTATCCTTCTTCTCCAAGGTCTCAGCAGATATCTGGTAGGGGACAGTGGTAAGACAATTTTGGAGAAGGGGAGGGGAGATAGGGGCAGCTCTATGCTGTTACTTCTCATTGTAAGGAGTGATAAGTGGTGTTTGAGGGCAGAGCCTGTCATCACCACCTTACTCCAAGATTCTTTCCCTATACTTGCTCTTGTGAGCGCGCACACACACACACACACACACACACACACAGACACACAGGCTTGAGCCCCCATGAGCTAGCAGAGGCCTGGCTTTCAGCCTGCAGCATTCTTGGTCCTGGTGATGTATGCATCTCCCTGTTGAGGGGGCACTTGGCAAGAGTTTGGCCTGTGGTCAGTGGCTGGCAGGACCTGGAGACAAGGCTGACCTTCTGAGATTGCAGAGCTTAGGGTAGAACTGGGGTGTGGCCCATCAACACACTTGTGGGGATGAGTCCCTGAAAATTGCTGTCCTGGAGCCCAGCATAGAGGAGGGTGGGGTCTGATGGCTGGTTTGTGATGGAACACGAAGTGAGGGTTGGTAGCTGGAGGAGGGACCTCAAGGCCAGGCGAGGAACAGGCAGAGGGAAAAGACTGAAGCCCAGAAGACCCCTTTGTGGGGGCAAGGATGGGTGGGGCTTTGAGACTTTTCTGAAGAAGCATTTGGTGTGGAAGGGAGAGGACTCAATCTAGTCTGGAGGCACCTGAACTTGAGTGTGGGTGTATATATATGACTGAAAATGTGTGGTTGTGTATGCATGTCTGTTTATGGGCATTGTGGATGTATATGAGTCTCTCTGTGAACAGGTCATGTGATGATAAGTGTGTGTAGGGGGTCTGGGTAAGCTTGTGTGTGTGAAGAGGGGTAGGTATGACTATGCAGGTCTGTTCGGGTGAGCAAGTGGGCATGTTTAATTATAAGCCTGAGTGAGGGTTTCTCTGGGCCAATAGGCCTATTAAATGTCTGGTTGTATATGTGTGTGGTATCAATGTGTCTTTGAATTACACCTGTGTGTACATGTTGTCTGATTGTATGTGTGAGTGTATGGGCTTTGGAATGCCTGGGTATGCATTTCTAATTAGGTGAGTGCCTAATTATATCTCAGTGTGTATATTTGTATATGCTTATATGTGCATAAAGGGTGTGTATATATCTAAATGGTGTGTCTGTGAGTGTAAGGACATATATGTGTGCATGTCCATGCATGTATAGGAGGGTATGTATATATGAACAGAATGTGAATGTGGCTGTCATGAATAGGCCTGGGTGTGAATGTCTAGGTGGACTTACTGGTATTTTTAATTACGTATCTGTCTGTGTGTGCATGCTTGATTGCATATTGTCTGTGGACAAACCTACAGATCAGATCTACATCTGATTGGGAATATGTTAGTAGATTGGCACACTAATATCAGCAGAACTAATTGTGTGAATAAGGGAAAGGGTATGAATATATGTTGTGTGCATGAAAATGTATTTTGTGGGCTAACCTACATGTGCATATCTGACTATATATGAGTATGGCCGTGGGTGTGTATACTTGTATATAGATATGTACATCAAGCTGTGTATATGGGTTAATGGATGCATTTGTGTATATGTCTAATTGTGTTTGTGGGTACACTGTTGTGTGTGAGTGCATGTTTGATTGTGGTATGTGTGAGTAACTATATGTTATAATACTTGCGTGTGCATGTTTCGTTAAGTGTTTTCCTTGAATTCTGAATGTGAATGTGAATATGTGTTTGCATATGCCTGTGTGTGACTGCAAGTGTACATGTGTATATATATGCTAGTATGTATGAACATCTGGCTGTGTGTATTTGAGTGAAAATGTCTATATGCCTGTGTGTTCATGCACATATAATTGTGTATATGTGTGAGTATATGCTTGTTTGAATGTGCAGGTGTGTTAAAGTACCAGTTTGTACAGTTCTAATTATTTGCATATGCATTTGTGTTTATGTCATTGTTTGTTTGGGAGTATATGTTGAAGAACAGTGTAAGTGAATATATGTTTGTGCATACTATTCTTGATCTACAAGTGTGTGAGTGTGTGTGTGAGGATGTCTTTGTGCATCTCAATTCATGTGCAGGTGTACAAGTGTGTGGAAGAATATGTGAGTGTACTGCTACGTGCTCATGTATGCAAACATACCTTTGTATCCAAGTCTCTCTGTTTGAATGTAAGTGTAAATTAATATTTTCTTTGCATAGCTTCTCATATGTTTATCAATATGTGTGGATGGATATGGTGTACATATCTGACTGTGATTTCATGAGTGTATTTTATGACTACACTTGTATTTCCATGCCTGAATTTGTGCACATAGGAATTAATCATGTATAAGTCTATATGCACATGAATATGTGCATAGGTGTATATACCCAATTGTGCATACAGGTCTTCATGTGTTAGAATGTCTGTATGTGTATAAATCATCTTATTCACAAGCATGTGCATATCTAGGTATATATGGGTATAAGTACATCCATGTGTGAATGTGAATATATTTGTGTGGATGGGTCTATATGTGGGTGCATATATATTTGTGAGCTTGCTTCTATATGTCCTTACATGTTCATTGTCTGAATGTGAGACAGGTTCTACCTGTCAATGGGTATGTGTAAGCATGCCTGTGTGTACACCTGTGTTTGTGAGTGAATGTAAGTCATGCATGGGCATTATGTCATGTAGGTATGCATATGTTTGGGAATAAATGAATGTGCATGTGTGTGACCAGGTACAGTGTGAGCATGCAGTGTGAGTGTGAGTGTGCCTATGTATAGAGATGAGCTCAGATATGTGTTCACATACATGTCTAATAATGAGAGAGAGAAGTTCAGCCTTGGGCCTGTGCAGAAAGGCGTTATCACTGAAAAGTGTGATACAGGAAGGTATTTATGAGTTTGTTTATGAATTTGTGTGACTCTGTGTGTACCCCAGATATATTTATGAGCATATCAGTGTGTCAGTGGTGCCTTGATAGACCATGTCTGTCTATAACTATGTAGACAAAATGCAGGATGGTAATCTATGAGGCCTGGCCGATTCATGACCTCCTTCTAGGGCCTCTCTGGCCTTAACCATGTACTAAGCTTTCATGAGGGTCTCAGGATAATTTCTGTTATCATTCACATCCAGAAAGTGGGAATCAGTCATGACTAATATCCTGGGGAACTATGCCTACAACTTCTGTAGAAAATCATTCTTGAAACACAAAGATCTCCATTCCCATCTCCTCACAATCAAAGACGCAGAACAGAATGGTTCTAGGGTGAGTAAATGGTTTTCATAAAGGGCACCCAAATCATGCCATCTAAGCAGAAATCTAGACATGAATGTATCTGAGGGAAGATTTGTCTGTATGGGTTGGTGTGTGTATGTATATCTGGTGAAGAAGAGAAACAAAGAATCTGGGTTGTATGTGTGTAAGAAAACCCATGGGTGTTTCTGTGTAGGGTGTTATGTGAGACATTTGCGTGTATTTGGGAAGGGTGAATGTAGGTCTATCTAAACAGTGTATTTGTGACGTAGTATGAGAGCAGGGAAGTCCCTGGGTGGTGTAAATGGTTAATATACTCGGCTGCTAACCGAAAGGATGGAGGTTCAAGTTTCCCCAGAGGCATCTCATAAGAAAGTCCTGGTGATCTACTTCCAAAAACTCAGCCATTGAAAATCCTATGGAGTACTATTCTATTTTGACATAAAGTCACTAGCTATGAGTCAGAGT